TGCAAGAACAGTGAATGCCTTACAAACTCAGAAAGAAAATTATGCCTTGAGCTCCCTTGATCACAGCATTTCTAAAATACAGGATGTTTGTGTGTGCATGTTTCAGTGCTCATCTTTTATCCACTTTTCTGTTCCACCTGGCTATGAATGAGAAATACAGCTTGTCTTTTGGTGCTACTCCTCACTGAGGGAACCAGCCAAAGGCAGTAGAGCTGCTTCTGTCCAACTCTTCTTAGTATATTTGCCCTAACTGTCTGTGTTCTCTTCAACTGTGATTGTCTTCTGCTTAGTATGAGGTTTTCTGTTCAGTCAGCTCCAAATTCCCATCAATGGGCCGTTAAGTCGGTGGCATCCTCTCATCATTACTGTAATTGGCCAGTAAGAACCCTCCAGCTCAAAAATTACTCCTTTCTACAGTAGGGTGTAAAGAGAGCTGTGTTCTGCTACTGTGAGCGGTAAACTAATATTTGCACAATTTATTTATATTTACTTTGCCTTATTTTATTCTCTCTATCAGGAGCTAAGGGAATTTTGTGGCAATTGGGCTCTAAGTGAGATGAATGTAGCACCTGGAAAACACTCCATTCAGAGTGAAATGGATAGTGTGTGTTCACAATTGCTTAAATAACACATGTTTTAATGCAGGTCTATGTGTTATGCTCATTTTTTTTAAATACAAATTATGCACTATGATAGGAAAAGTCAGTGCGTCAGTGGTACTGGGGAATCTTTCCAAGATCTTTCTTTCAAGTGGATTAAAGAGTACAAATTTGGGATAGTCAAAGGTGAATACAAACAAATTGGCTAGTCTGCTAGCATAGCTGTCCAGCTGCATGCTAGGCTCTGAGGCCACTCCAAAACCACAAGCCTGACTGCCTCAGAAGCCTGCCAAGGAGCCAGCTGCTGCTAATAAAGCAGACTCTACAACTTGGCATCTGGGGCCTGTGACTCCTATCCAAAAGGAATTGTACGTGAAAAATAGTTGAAATTTGTCTTTTTTAAGTAGTGTTTTGCTTTGGAAGAGAAATGCATTAGACTAAACTTGCAACAAGTGAAAAACTATGTAAGAGTATTGTGGTTGCCATGGGAAGATAAATACCATTCTTATGAAAGGAGGTTGGATTTGGAAAGGAGGAGGGATGTTAATTTAGTAACCAAGAGGTTTCTGGTTCAGCATTTCTGGCTCATTTAGTAAGAAAGACCAAGGTATCTCATTATTCATGCTTAGCTGTGTGTACTGGCATGGGACACTTAGCTTCAGAAAGCTCAGTGGTAGGGTTTAAGCACAAGAGTGTGTTCATGAGGCTGGATAAGAATTAAGCACATTGATTTCTTGCTTTTAAATAGTAAAGAGGGAGAAATTTCATTCATTTTTTGCAGATGAAAACAAATCCTATTAGCCAGCCATGCTAAATTAATAAGCTGCTTGGAATGATCTACTAAACATTTCATTCTCCACATACTCCCCTCTGAAGCATGAGAACTGGAAAATGAGTTGGTTGCATTGGTTATTTGAAAAATTAATGACAAAGCCAGCTCTGAATTCCAGCTTCCTTTTGAAGTAAAACTTGTAAATTTTGCCTAACGCTCTTTTTCTAACACTGCAGGTCCTGTGCTTGGCTGTGTTGGCAGAATGTCTTTCGCATTATTTCAACAGCTGGTGTCAGGGTGTTTTGAGCCAATCTGGAAAGCAGTGTTCCTTATAGCTCTTGTGGCAGAGAAGTTAAGCACTTTGGCTCCAGACATGGAAGGGACCAACATCAGAACAAGGCACGAATTCCCTGCTGTAAGGTGTGCACACAGCTTCCCAGACAATGCCCCACTTTGGCATCATCCAGGATCCTGTAGCAAGTGGTCCATATCTGGGATCATCATCAGGTTGCCATTAATTTCTTTCACTCCAGTTATTACGTAGAGATTAACGAACCAGACCCTTTGCTCATGTGGAGGCAAATCGCATACTTCTGCCATCAGTCATACACTCATCAGCTCAGGAAACAAGAATTCAAAGCTTTCTTCTGACCCAAAGATTTTATTCTGGCAACTGACCAGAAGATGTCATCAACCCTAGTACAGGAATTTTGTAGTCTTTCTGGGGTATTAGATATGCATGGCAATTACTGTGGGCTGCAGTGGCTGAGATTTATTAGTGAAGAGGGTTTGGAGTACAGTGGTGCTTTCCAGTCTAAGGAGATCAGCATCCTCCAAAGTGGAATATGTCTGCCTCTGTACCCACCCTTAGAGCATCTCCCAGGATGCTGTCATGAGCCTGGGCATCTGTGTGTGTGTATAGTCGTAGCAGGTCTTGCTTGAGAGACCACTTATCCCATGGCCTAATTCTCTGGGTGCACCAAGGACTGTCTTTTTATAGCTGTGGCCTTAAAATCAGTGTAAATGTAATTCATGTTCGTTTCTAGGTCCCCTTTCGGCTGGCCGAGAGGGATAAAATGTCTTAAGCTTAAATTAGAATTAGGCCCCCAATGCTTTCCTCTGTGTGAGGATAAAGATCTTATAATAGAATGAAAATTGCTTTTTGTGTTTCAAAGGTATATTTCCACTCTTTTTTCTTGCTTATTAGGTTGGTGTGACAGTAGGCCATTTACTCATTTTCCCTTCCTAAGACATACCTAATTATAACAATTAATAGTTAAGGCACATAGCACTTTATTGGCTTACAGAAAATTCTGTCTTTGCTTTACATCATTTATGTGCATTCAGTGTGTATGGTAAACATGGAGTTGTCGGGTAAAGCAGTAAGAATGTCATATTGACATTATTTATATTTTATCTTACCAATAAGCAAAATGTGTAAGATTACCACAGGGTATTTCCCGAGTTCTCAGTATCCTAAAGCCAAACATGTGCTATATGCAGTCACATCTACCTTTACCATGGCCATGGAGTGCCCAGAGATTTAAATATGCTTTCAGCCAGGATGTTTTAAGATGCCCATGTTATGTATTTGTTGGAGGTTACTGTTGCCTGCAGTTTTGCCTGTGCCATGGCCATAGCGTGGAGCTGATTTCGAGGACTTGCCTACAGCATTGGAGTTCAGTCAAGATGGTTCCCTGGGACTGGTATCTGGGACTGCTGCTTCAGCAGTCTATTTCTGGGAATGACATTGAAGCTTGGGTGGGCGAGGATTACCCAGTGATAAAATGTGTGTGCAGAGAAATATGATCCGTATGCATTAAGTGCTTTTGATTGTCAGCAAAAGTATCTACACAGATACTTGGGGAAGGAAGCTTGTTGCCCTGTCTCTTTTTACTCTAGATAGAGAGGTAGTGTCATTACTTACTAGTGTTGCCATTGCACTGTCTGTGAAACTTTTTTTTCCTTTTAATCGTTCCTACTTGAGTCACATTACAAGCAGGCAGAGAAATTCTGATGTCCTGACATCTGATTGTGTGTTCCAGCTCTCCTGGTTTAAATAGGAGAAACTGGGAAGCAGGAAAGAGAAGGCAACAGGAGAGGCATTAGTGCAAGTGTGGTATTTTATGTATTTAATCAAAGCCTCTCAGCTTCACTTATCACTGATGCTCCCCTTATGTTCTCCAACTTTTTTTGATTCTTCTAAGTGAAGGGACTTGTTTGAAAGAGGTAAAAATGTCCATCTACTGAGGCTCTGATTTTGTGTGGGCACAATTATAAGCACTAAAGTAGTACCGCTGAAAGTAAAGGGGCAGTTGATCAGTGTGCTCAAAATTACTCAGGGACTTAAATATTTTTCTCTCTGCAAGGCTTAAATGCAGAACAAACCTATTAGATGTTACTGAAGTGTCATTGCTACTACTATAATGAAAATTGCAGGTGTTTTGCTTTTATTAGTCCATTAGCACATTGTGGTTAACTTAGCATTGGCCCAATATTTACCTGCTGTTGTAACCATGCATACTGCTAGCAGAATACACTGATCAGCTTGTGAAAATAGGATTTCCCATGTCTCGGCAGGCAGCTGTGTTCCTGGAGCTCTGCCTCCAGTTCTCTCACTGCCAGCCGGAACCTTGGCCCACAGCAATCCTTAGCTTCTCCAACTCCTCTCTTAAGATCTCAGCTTTCCTGCATAGGTCACAGTGATGGCAGGACATGGCCTTCTCCTTCCAGCCACTCCTCCGTTCTGACAGGAGCTCTGTGCTGCGAGTAAATACTCTGATGGTCAGAGAGGCAGGGATGGTTGCAGCAGCTTAAATTCCCTGTTGTGCCGGATCAGAGGCACTGAAGTAATTTATATAGCATGTGTGCGCCTCCTTTCGCAGCATGTATTTACCAGGGAGTTAGGAGAGAGTGGTGTTTTCCCTGTGAGAATTCCTCCCTTTTTAAGTGGTGTTTCTCAGTTGCTGTGTGTGCTTTGTAGCTGTTCAGAAGTGGTAAGGTTTTGAGGGTACGAGGTCTTAGCTGGATCATCTTTTGCAGCCCCTTTTTCTCTATTGTGAAAGTCACCTGTAAAGACAGAGTCATTTCAGGCTGTTTGGATGTTTGTTTTTTTTTCCCGCACTCAGGCTAGTCAAGACTCTGCCACCTGACTGCATGTACTGGATGCTCCTCATGTTTAGAAAAGACTATCTAGGCTTCTGGCATCAGCTTCTAAACCTTTGCCTAGATATTCTTATTTGTGTCTTGGAGTATTCTTAAAGCAGCTTAAGTTTAAATTCTTCCTTTAATACTTGTCGCTCCCGAGTATCTGTTATTTCTGAGCTTTATTTTGTGATCTAGATAAAATAGGCTTATAAATGAGCTACTTTGATCAAGATTTTTTTAAAAAAGGTAACATAATTCACTTCATAGTCATGGCTAAACCCCAAATCTCAGCTCAGTTTGGCATTTTTGTAGGATGTTCCTGGGTCTGGGTGGGTGCACGCCTTATAGGAGTGGGCAGCCTGAGGCGATCAGGACAAGCGTGCCCTCAGTACACAACTCTAGAACTACCTGGGTAAAGCACATGAGTCCACCCCATGCTTTTGTTTTCCAGTAACAGCCACTTTGTTTTGTTCTGTTTCCAGCAGTCCTATGCACCAGCTCCCCACCCCATGGCTCCTCCCAGCCCCAGCACAAACAGCAGCAACAACAGCAGCAACAACAGCAGTGGAGAGCAGTTGAGTAAAACCAACCTGTACATTCGAGGCCTTCCACCCGGCACCACTGATCAGGACCTTATCAAGCTGTGCCAGCCGTAAGTGCACTTAATATACTCTGTGTCTTTGGGTAGGAAATTGTCAAAGCTGGCCTTTCAGTTTACTGGAAGGACTTATGTGGACTTATGATGTCCACAAAAAGACATCAGAAGCCTTCTGCACTTGAAGGCCAAGTGTTAGTCCTTAGTTTGAACATCTAATTAATGTCTGTTGGAAAATCTTCTGGTAATGAACTTTAGGGGATGGAGACGTGAGGGCCTTCACATTGACTTCTGTTTATTTTAATGTGTGGGGTTTATTTCTTATGTTAAAAGAAGAATTTGCATGGCAAGAAAACCTCCCTAATGACAGGTTTTAGTTACAGTGATCTGTGAATCACAGCCTGGTGTACAACAGAACGTGGGTGATCCCACTTCGGTTATTTGTCACACTTTGTGATTGCTGTGTCACATATTGCTGGGCTCAAAGACTGAGAAGTATGAAACCCACTGAGGGTGGCCTGATAACCATCTAATTAACATATAATTGCGTCTGCATCTGCAGTTCCACTGAAAAATGATGATGTAGAAAGCAGCACTGTTTATCTTGCGTCACGTTTGTACATTGTGCTGAAAAATGTCAGTTTTGTTGTTTTATTCCTGTTGAAACTGGAGAGGCAACAGAAAGGAGCTCTTTGCTCCTCATGCATCATCGAAAGAACTGTTTCCTAAAACGCTGCATCCTCTTACCCCTCCTCACTTGACTGAAAGTAGTGCGTAATGAGAGTAGAAATGAGAACCTGAGTGGATTTCCAAAGTCTAGATTATTATTCATGTAGTTTTTGGTGAACTTGGCAGTCGTGGTGTAATGATTAGACTTGATGATCTTAAGGGTGGTCTTTTCCAACTTAGTTGGTTCTGTGATGAGGGAGGAGAATAATACAGTTTGAGATTCCAAACTAGGATCACCTGGGTGGAATTTAGGATAACACATTATTTTTTGTGTTGAAATAAGAACATTGAGAGATTTGAAAAATAAAAATCCATTCTTGTTATGATGCAGAACGATAATGCTTTGCCACAGAGTTGTCTATTGCAAAAGACAACAGTATTTCTGGCATCTTTCATCACAAATCAGCCTTTCAAATAGATTGCAAATAAGTTAAACAAATAAATGAAGTTTGGTAAAGTAAGGAGCAGTCTATGGTTGATCTAATGGCTTGAATCAACATATTGCTTTGAATCTTGCTGTAGGATTAACAATTTAATGGTATGCTACAATTTTATGTGATTCTGTCTTTCCTGATTTTGATGAAATGTCCTGAAAGACTTCCCTGAGTATTCTTTATGTGGACATGGCTGCCTAGGATTGGAACTAGCCTTCTTACTGCAGTTGATATATGAACTTTAACAGAATTATGTGAGCTTGAATCTCTTCGCTGTGACTTTCTCCTATTAAAGCTGCTACAGGTAAACGGGCCAACTGCTCACAGGAGTATAGTATGCTGGTGATTTTTTGTATTTCATGGAAGCTGAATTGCGAGTGTATCTGTCTGACATTTGTACAAGTTATATTCATTGACACTTCCTGCTTGTGACAGCCACAGATAATTCCTGTTTAAGGGCCAGATCCTCAGTAGGTATAAATTGACTCTAGTCTGCTGATGTTCAGAAAGCTAGTTTGTCATACGTCTTGTTATAGTCTGACCCTTTCCAAGTTCAGACAAATGCTTTCAACCAATAAGGAATGAGCTAACTATTCCTAGAAGAGCCTCATGGCTTTGGCACTTAGTGCTGCAGTCATGATGTGAGTCTCTGGTATGAGCAGTGCTACTTGAATCACAAAGTTCAGACCCCTTACATATATCCCTGTGTATGGGAAGTGCACATTGATTATCTCAGAGCTTCCTTTCAGCACTGTGGCAAAATTTTTAATGCACTCTACTAAACTTAATCTGCTCTGTGATTAGAGACCTTTATCTAGGTATCATGGAGTTCCTGTGTGAACAGATGCTCTTTAGGAAAAATGCTGACATTCATTTTGCTGATTTTTCTATCCTTTCTCTGTATGGAAGTGAGGAGAAACCAGATCGTTGTTCTGTCTTTTTTTTCAGAATATTAGAGGTATTTGTCAAAGCAAAAGGAAAGATGGTAGAGCAAAACTTAAATATCTGAAAAGACAAAAATTTATCATGGTAGCATGTAGATTTTAGAAGCAATATATTGAAAGACATTTTCTTTAACTTTGCAGATGGTTACATAGTAGAGGTGGATAAAGGTCCAAATCCCTTCTCCCCCTGCCACTGCAGTATGTATAGCAGCAATCTGCTGCTATATAAGCAAGACTTATATTTGTTCAGAAATGGTTGTCTTCTGTAGAGATCTCGTAGCTTACAAGTCTGGGGTCTCACTATGTGTGAAAGACTTTATGTAACAGGTTTTCACAAAACAGCAGAAGGTGCTGGCTCCTAGGCTTCCTGCATCAAAGTGTTAGTCTAATTTGCTGCAAGATGTGAGGTGAAAACCTAAATACCAGTCCATAAAACTTATTACTATTTTGCAGCGCAAGATTTTTGGAGAGTTGCATTTAAGAGAGCTATTCACCAAAGCTAGCTTATGTCCAGGACACTGGTTCCCCTAGGCTAGCTGCCAGTGCCTAAAATGAGCCCTTCTGAACCCATTTCCTCTGTTCTAGAATGTGGCAAGGCTGCCAGCAGTACAACTGTCACTTATATTGTCTGACATTTGGCAGGTCTGGGGAATAATGTTCTAAACCCACAATATTTCTCTCTGTCATGGTTTAAGCCCAGCCAGCAACCCAGAACCACACAGCCGCTTGCTCGCTCCCCCTTTCCCCCAGCTCCTGGAGGAATGGAGAGGAGAATCGAAAGAATGTAACTCCCACGGGTTGAGATAAGAACAGTTTAGTAACTAAGGTATAACACAAATCACTACTGCTGCCACCAATGATAATAATGATAAAGGAAATAACAAGGGAAGAGAATACAACCGCTCACCACTCACCGACCGATACCCAGCCCGACCGACCAGTGATCTTGCCCTTCCAAGTAACTGCCCCCAGTTTATATACTGGGCATGACGTGCTGTGGTATGGAATACCCCTTTGGCTAGTTTGGGTCAGGTGTCCTGTCTCTGCTTCCTCCCAGCTTCCCCTCCTCCCTGGCAGAGCATGAGACTCAGAAAGTCCTTGGTCAGAGTAAACATGACTTAGCAGCAACTAAAAACATCGGTGTTATCAGCATTGTTCTCAGGCTGAAAGTAAAAAACACGGCCCTGCACCAGCTACTAAGATGGAGAAAAATGACTGCTACTGCTGAACCCAGGACACTCTCTCAGAAGTACAGAAAGTGCTTGAAATGCTTCTGGTTATGTACACTTGTCATAATCCGTCCCATTTCCAGATTTACTCCAGAAGAGGGGCCATCCTTTAAGTGACGTGTAACATTTCTTATTTTATTGCCTGTTGCCCTGTAGGTTATGGATGAGAAACCCTTTAATCAGTATTGTTTTTTAAAGCATGAGGCTGTTCTGGTGAATCCTGCCTTTTCTGTATTTCATCTGTGTGGTTTTGGGTGGTGTGTTTCACACACTAAGCAGGAAACAGCAGACTGGAGTACCATTGATGCTAGAAGTGCGGAGTCCATTACACGTGATGTCAGATGTTTCTGACGAATGTTCTGACACTATCAAACCTTCTATCAATTTAAGAATAACCTTGTCACAGTGATCTGTCAAACTGTTCATACAGCTAAAGGAAAACAAGTCATCATAGGCTGTACAGTAGCTGAGTAAATAAAATATAAAAATTGCTATTGGAAAAATTTATTTTGGTGTGTTTCTGATCCTCAGCATTTGGTTTAAACAGTGTCCAGCATTAAACTCTTTTTTTTTTTTGCAGCAGGAAGCTGTTAGCTTGCACTGCATCATTTGGGACCCTATAGACTCTTGTCAAAGGTTACATCGAAAAAGAGTGAATAGGACTGTTTAGCAAGCAAGAATCTGTTGTTCTTTTATGTGTGTATCATTTCCTGGATTTTCAAAAGCACTGAGTAAAGGAACTTATAAAAATGGACCTTGGCCTTTTTTAACCTGTCTTGAGGTTTTCTATTTATTCTGTTTATTGATCACTGGAACTTGCAGGTCTAAAATTGTGATTATTAAATGTGACAAGGCTGTGATTATTAAATATTTCATGAAAAGATTAGTTAATATCACATCATTAGCATTTCTTTTTCTGACATACACAGTCTGCTGGTGCAGTGTTACACACCATTATACATGTATCTTCCCAGTCAAAATATGCTTTTCATCAAAAGGAAAGATAATCAACCTTAAAATGTAAAATTACAGATTATAAACAGGAAAATGTGCATGATCTGTCACTGTACAACCAAAATAGAAGTTATTATTTTTGAAATATTCATAGCCTGTCACTCTAATTTTCATGCATGGCTTTATATTTCATCCAGAAGAATTCCACACACATACACAGATGGTGATGTCCCCTATTGGTATACTGGACAGATCCCATTCTTACTAACTACACTCCAGTGCAGATTGAACGAAATCTCATGTATATATTAAGCATTTGAGCTTTCATTTTAATTTCAAAAACTCATAGTATGTCTCTCAAGATTTTGGTCTTTCTGTCTGTATTTCTTTACATGTTTGCACTGAGGATGACTTTGACCCAGTGTTTTTTAGAGGATAAAGTAATTTTTGAAGAAGAGAATTTGGGAAAAGTAGCTTAAATCCCCCAACATTTGACTAAAAAGCCTTGTTCATTTCCTTGTTCATCTCGATTTAGTCATGAATTTTTCATGATTGAAATTTTCAGTCTGTAGTCTGAAAGAAAGCTACTTCAAACTTCAAACATCTGATAGTTTAAACTTACTTATATGTTTGTCCTGACTTGGTTGTCTCCCCTTGCATCTTTCATGTACCTTCAGAAATCTATTTCCATAAACTTCATTCCTGTTTGGATTAGTTAACTTGTCACCATTCAAGTTTTGACTTCTTTGTGGTCCAGGGTAAAATTA